AACTTCTGGAATAAAAGGGAATCATGTGTCCTTAAGGGGCTAAAAACCCCCGAAAACAAATAACTAAAACAACAACAACAACGACAACTTGTATGTGTCTTGATTAATTCTGCAGTTTCCTCCCTCTTATTTATCATTAGAGATGCTGTTGAAAGGTTGAGCAACAAATCATGTCAAAGTATGGGCTATTTTGGTAAACAAAGCGTCACTATAGACTCAGACATCCTTAGTTTGCTTTAACAGGATTTATGAGGTAAACCATTGACTTTACATTGGAACTTTCGATTTGGGACATTGGAGTCTGATCTCTTTAAAGTAGGTTGTTTTCCAAATACATCTGTAGGTTTATAGTGCTGACGTTGAACAGTGCATTCATGTAATTGGGAAGGGGATTAATTATAGAGTTTTAAATAGGCTCAACAAGTCTATTTCTTGGGGAAGAGTGAAGTGACCTATCATTTTTAAACTTCACCAGCTACCACTGACTGTGTAAACATGGCCAGTGCCAGAACGTTTACTGAACAATGGGAAAAATTCCCAGATTTTACTATTTATATGACGAAAAGTCATGATTTTATTAAAGACACAGAGGCTCATATTATGCATTCTCTCTCTTTTATTCCCTCAGCAGTAAACAATTGAGAGGAAAAAAAACAACTGAACAATCAAAAAAAAATCATAAATTTATCAACAGGGCACCCAATCAACTTAGAGATGTCCATATAAAAGGGAGTTGTCTTGCCTGCTATTACTCTTTCTGTGACCTCCCAAAGAACTAACCAATATAAACCAAGAAGAATCCGTAGAACATCTGAACGTCCCATTCAGGCTAGAATAGAAAACGAAAAATAGGGTTAAACCTAATCTTCCAACTATGGGATTGTCTCAGTAACATCCATATCTCAGGTTCTATGCAATCCATACTACTTATGGTAAATATACATTTAGATCAAAACATTATGAAGGAAAAATTGTGAAATTGAATCCGAAAAATCCATCTATCTGAACGTACTGTAAACATGAAGTAATGGAAATATATATATATATATATATATATATACTCTCCACGGGATGGGCGGGAGGGAATAATACTGGCCTCTGTGTCATTAATAAAATCATGACTTTACGTTATGTAAATAGTAAAATCTGGGAATTTTATTAAAGACACAGAGGGTAATATGCATTTTTAAAGCTGAGCTATGATCCGGGAAGAAAAATGTTCAATGGGGCAAAAGTAAAAGTCTCGAAAAGTTGATTCGCTAGACCAATCGGCCGCTCTCAGGGTATCTTCCAATAGGCAACCCATTGCAGAAGCCTTAGAGGCCATAGCCCCACGAACAGAGTGGGGTGAAAAAATTGAGACGTCTATCCCAGCTGCTAAAAGCATCCATTTGGTCCAGCGGGCCAATGTAGGAGATGAAACTGGAAGGTGAGGTTTCCAAAAGGAGATAAATATAAAATTTTCCTGGGAAGATCGAAGAGGAGTCGTGCGACCCAGGTATTTATTCAAACATAGCACCGGACATAGGGGTGGCTTGGTAGGAAACTTAGGGTTGAACACTTGTTTCGTCGATGGCACAGTCCTGTGAGAAATATCCAGTGATACCCCACCGGGTTCAACCGTGATAGCATTCCAGTCCAGGGTCGGATGTCCAAAACACGTTTACATGAAATTAAGGAAAAATAGCATGAGTAACTTTGCTGAAAGTTGCTTAAGTGAGAGTTCTTGATTCACTGGCCAACCATCCCAAAAATTTAAAACTATGTTGAGGTCCCAACGATTCCTGTAATATACTATCTACCGAAAATTCATAAAAATGAAACTAAACCTCCAGACCGTCCCATTGTCTCTGGTATAAATTCCCTTTTATCCAATTTATCTGAATATTTAGATATTTTGTTACAGCCTGCAGTTAAAAATATGAAATCGTACCTTAAAGACTCCATATCTCTTCTTCAGTTTTTAAATACATTTACTTGGCAATCAAACTATAGCCTGGTGACCTGTGATGTACAATCCCTCTATACCATTATACCTCACCATATGGGATGTGAAGCAGGCACCAGGATACTAAAAGAAAAAAAAATTCCTAACTCCAAAATTGATTTTATCAGGGAAGGTATTGAAATTATTTTAAATAATAATTATTTTTGGTTTTTAAGCAAGGAACAGCTATGGGGACTAGGTTTGCCCCAAGCTATGTGAACTTATTTATGGCAGACTGGGAGTCACAAACTATCTGGAGTGACCACGCTTGGAAGGCAAACCTAGTCTCATACTTCCGTTATATTGATGACTTATTTGTTTTATCTGGGATGGTTCTGAGGAATCTCTTAATGTCTTCTTAAGCTATCTTAATAATAACAATAAAGGAATCATTCTCACTTCCGACTATACAAGGAAGCTATTAACTTTTTAGACATTCAGATTTTTATCAATAATGGGATCAACACCAGAACCTTTTTTAAAGAAGTGTGTACAAACACTGTTATAAATAGAAATAGTTGCCACTACAAACATGGCTGGATAGCGCCCTGAAAAGCCAGTTTTTAAGACAGGAGTAATTGTTCAAAACTTGAAGACTTTGAAAGGCAATCCTCGGTTTTAAAAGACCAATTTGTCGAAAAAGATTATCCAGAACATTATCTGAATAATGTTATTGAGTAAGTAAAGACCCAAAATAGGAATACACTTTTAACCTATAAAGACAAAAATAAAGTCTATACCTATTATTCTTGATTATAACAAAAATAAAGAAATAAAAAAGATTATTAATAAGCATTGGCATATCTTAGAACAAGACGCCATACTGAAGATCATTTCTAATAAGCCCAATATTATATATTCAGAGGAGCCCCCAATTTTAAGTCTATTTTAACCAATGATTTTTATTATTTTTTATTTACTTATTATTATCATTTAATACTGATTAATTTTATTATTATTTTTATTCTCTTACTTTATTCCTCTCTCTTATTATAACTTTTACAACCATCTTTTTTCAGCCTTATAAGTTACCCCCCACATTCTCTTTATTTCCCTCCCCTTTCTCTTTTTTATTTATCCCCCACAGATACCCTCCTAGATCTTTATTTCTTTATCACTTTCACTTCCCCTACCTATATGGCCACCGTGTATGCCGTGCACGTGATTGCCTACATTTCTTCAGCACTTTCTCTTTTTTTGTCATTCATAACTTTCACCTCCACTTGTAATAAGCCGAGATTGGTCACGTGACCCTCGGTATCATGTCACTTCCCTCTTTTATTTCGGTTTTAGACTTATGAATTATATTTCTTCCTTATTTTGTCCAGCCCACTCCTCCCAATTTCGCCCACATTTCTCAAGGGCTGATCATGACATATTCAGCGTTCCACCCTCTGCTCCTCTACACTACATTTCCAAGTTTCCCATCTGTATAACGCCCATTTTTTACGTTAATTTTCCGGTCATGCCTATTTTTACTCTTTATCATCTCTTGTTTGTTTTTCTATCATTTTTATTCCATGTATAACTTTTAACTAAGATTTCAATATACATAAAGTTTCTTTATGATTTTATATGTCTAATTGTGCATCATGGACACGACCACGTGACCATGACGTCATTTTACTGCCAATTTTGAATTTTCTATGTATTTTACCCTATGTAAGAATACCTTATATAGCCAGGTATTTGCTTGAATACCACTTGAAAAAGCCCATTTTGGTGAAACGCATTTTGGACTTATTTTATCATTGTTTTTGTTGAAATAAAGGTTTTTGGTAACTTTTACGACCAATATTAGTATTATATACCTTTTTTCTTTTTTATTACCTGGCATCCAGTTTTTATCTTCCTAGTGAGGACCTCACAAAGAATCCCTGGTAGGGATTATGCCACCTACGCTGATTATACTGAGTGGGTTATCTGCTCAAATAAATATGAGTATAATCTATTTATTTTTACTCCTGGTTATACATATTTTATACAGAAAGCACTATCTTTGCACCCTTTGTTTTTATTTTCACATATAATCTGCTGCCAAGTTACGTGCATGGTAAAATCTTCCACCATATCCCTGAAGTGGGGGAATAAATCCACTGCAAGCACTTCATACTGGTTTTAGCTCTATCGCATGTGAGAAGGCCATTTTGGATTTCTTTTTACTCAAGCTTTTACCATATTTTATACATAATCCACTATTGGAGTCTCTTTTTTTCCTTTTATGTCCCTGGATTTTGAACACCTGGAAGATATACTTACCTGAACATACAGGCAAACCTTTATAGACTCATCTACACTTTTATAGTTTGTCCCGGATTTTTGGCTTGTCCTTTTTTATATACTTGATTTTATATTATCTTACTTACAGTGTATAATTTGTCTTATCTCATTTTGTTTTACTTAGAGCTATTCTGATTCCTAACCCCTTGGTGCACCCTATTGTTCTGTATTACTGTCAGTTCCATCCAGTCTTACCCAGGAATTGGGTCTACCTATGGGGTCTTACAGGCCGCATCAGACACAATAGGTCCAGGGCATTTTGCACGTAATTTTGGCGCCCCTATTTAGATAGAGGTATACTCATGTGCAAGGCCAGGTAGTTGGCAATGTGGCTGGATGGCTCCCACTCCATGGATGGTGCAAGTTGTCCGGGTCAAAAAGAGGTTGTCCCTGTGGGTCCCGAAGACCCGCCCCAGTGTCCTCGGGAGCAGAAACTGGCACCAGGGCCGAGGAGATCTGACCCTCCTGAGTAATAAGATCAGTAGGATACTCTGGCTCAGACTTCGCCTCTTCATAGGAGGCATAGTCCGGAGCATCAGAACCCTCCACCTCATTCCAGTCGGAATCCAACCAATTATCAAGGGCACGTGCCCGTTTCCATGTTCTGGCTGATTATTTGCCCAGCCAGTGGCTCTTTTGTGAGGTGGAAATGTACCATCCGTGATCGCCGAGGGTGGATCAATCTGAGTATTCATAGCCTCAGGGAGTTGAGGTGCTTGCTCTTAGCTCTTGCCTTGCAGGCCATAGCGCCCGCCGCCATAGTTGTGAATGGGACAGGTTGGGCACCCTGGGGTTGGAGCAAGGCCTTTGCCAGGGCTTGTGTTATAGAAGATGACATAGCCCGCATGGTGGAAGCCAGCGCTTTATTAATATAGGTGGCCGTAGTAGTATCCAGGATAATCTGGAATTCATCAAAAGCCATCAGGCCAGAATCCTCACCCGCAGCAGGCTGGAAGGTCAGTACAGGGCAAAGTAGACCGTTCAGCACCTTCACCTCTAGCTTGCATTATGACAGATAGGCGCAGAATAACCACCACTGTAATATATATAATAGCAAATCCAAATACTAGGTAACTTCAAAAGAAAATAAACAGCATTGATTAACCCTGACTCACAGATCCAGATAAAGAACGAAAACAGCCTTAACCAATTCCCTTGTGTATGCCCTGCCTCAGGAGTACCGGAGCCGACAGGCAGCAGGAAAAGGGGGTGAGAGACCACACACTGTTTCCAGCCTAAGTGCGCTTTCGCTTGCATTGTTGAACTGGGGCCTTTTAGGAGCTTAGATGAACTCCTATAGTATCGCCAGCTGGGTGGAAGTGACAGTTTATATACAGAGCACCACGTGGGAGGGAGGAGGTGGAGGTGCCGACACACACAGGCAGCAGGGGGATAGAGACTGGAGTTAGCTGCTGTAGACGATCACTCTCACTCCTATCAGCCTCAGCCAGCATCACCAGGACCCCAAGCAAGCCACCATCCTGAACACAAAAGGTAAGCTATGAGGGTGGCTACAAATATAAACATTATAACATGTATATGTCTATGTATGTCAGATTGTGTGTATGCATGTGTCAAGGTGTATGTATGTATTAATGTGTGTCTGTGTAAAGGTGTGTGTGCATTGGTGCATCGAGGTGTGTTTATGTCAGTGTGTGTATCTGTTTGTCATGGTGTGTGCATATGTCAGTGTGTATATATGTTAGTGCATCTTTGTGTCAGGGTGTGTGTATATGTCAATATGTGTATCTGTGTGTCAGGGTTTGTGCATGTGTCAGTGTATGTGTGGCAGGGTGTGTATCTGTGTGTCTGTGTGTGCATCTGTGTGTATGCATATGTCAGTGTGTGCATGTGTCAGTGTGTGTAAGTCTGTGTCTGGGTGTTTGTATCTATGTGTGTGTATGTGTCAGGGTGTATATTGATTTGTGTGTATGTATCGGGGTGTTTACATGTGCGAAGCAATGTGTTAATGTGTGTATGTATATCTGTGTAAGTATGTATGTCTGTGTGTGTATATGCATACATCCAAGCAATCAAACACCAACACAAACACACTTCTGCAATCTAACATAAACATTACATACAAACACATCCCTACATTTAAACTCCAGAATTATATGCAAACACACGCCTTCACTCAAACATCTACACACAAATGTACATCTGCATTGAAAGCCAACATTACAGCCAAACATACCCATGAATCAAATGCAAACATTACTTACAATCACACGCCTGCATTGAAATGCTAAACTATATTTTAATATAATGCTTATATACAAACACACCTTCATTCAAGCACCAACACTACACACAAAAGCACAAATGCATTTAAAAGCCAACACTATGTACAAGTATACCACTACATTCCAATTTAAACAGTACATACAAATACATCCCTAGATATACTTATATACTCTGTAGAAAAACATGATTATATTCAAATGCACAAACTCTGCTCACAAATACAACACTGCAAGGATGGGCATATGGTAGATCCACAGCTAGCATAGCATCATTGGAATTGTATGACTGATGGGATCTACCTTTTGGCCACTCTTGCACTGGAGGATAGCCCCCAAAAAACGTTATTACACCAGGGCCCTCTTTACATTAGTTCCGCCACGGATAGTGTGTATAGTGTACAAGGAGGCTATGTAAGTTATACTTGTAAGGAGGGCCAGGATATGTTTAATCCTAACGTGCAGAAAACAGGCCAAGCATAGACAGGGAAAAGTTATATAAGATAGACATGCATTACCAATCCTTAGAGTGGTCAGGCTTAACGTAAGTGCCTCTAGAGAGGTGTAAAACACAGAGTCTAAGACAGATGAGAATAATCTGAGCCAAACTGAGAAAATGGATATAGAGCACAAAGTTGATATAAGGAACCAGGGTCTCTAAATGCCAGAAAAATAGAAACCACAACATGAACTAAATCGTAAAAGTGAATCAAAATACAGTGACAAAGATGCAGAAAGAATTGCGTTTTTAACTTTTATCCTATAAATGCAACTAGGTATTAGTTTTAGTTTTGTTCTCTTGGGTGTGTTAGTATGGATATTTTTGTCAATTTTATTTTGACCAAAGAAAGAAAATAGAAGACCTTCATGCAGGAAATTGAGAGGTAAGCATGCTTTTGTTTTATAAAATCATATAAAGTCACTCACCCATTATTCACTGTGCAACACTGAACTTGAAAGCACTTCTAGTGGTCATGCAAGTGACTGCCACAAGAGGTGTTACTAGGCAGAAATGTAAACAGTGCCTTTAATCTGAAAAGGCAGCGTTTACAGTGGTCAGCTTCCAGGGACAGAATATAGTGTCCCTTTAAGTAGTTTATCATTTTTCCTGGAAGAAAAAGTATTAATTTTCTTCAATATAATATGAGTATTCCAACATGCAGTTCAGTTAACACAACAACGAAATCCATTATTTTCAGTATTAATTTATTTTTTAAATGTATTTATTTTTTTTATCTGAAACTTAACCCCTTAACGACGAGTGACGGACGAGGTCCGTCACTCAGGGGATTGCCATAACGACGAGTGATGGACCTTGTCCGTCACCCGTTAAAATTAAGCCCGGATCGCCGCTATCGCGGCGATCGCGGGGTTAATGGTGCTCTGGTCTGCCTCTGTATCCCAGCACCGTTGCAGAGCAAGCACATGTGCTCCATATAATCACCTTCCGCCTCCCTACACTTCCTGGTTCTGTGTGAAGTGCAGGGCACCGGAACAGTGATGATCCTGCCCCCTGTGTAAAAAAAAAACTAAAGTTAGTTTAACACCCCACTCCCTTTAACCATTTTAATAAAAAATTAACACCTTCCCTGCCAATTAATCACTGACTACAGTGATCAATTGGCAGGGATTACATTTTACTGTCATCTCTTTTTTGAACCCCTGAGGGTTAATTCTTTTTTTTTTAACCCTCAGGGAGTTTATTTAATTAATTAATTTAAATATTTTAAAATTATATATTTAGCTAGCTGGGGTGGGTGGAAGTTAGTGGGGAATTGGGGGATTTGGTGTTAGGCTAACAAGGAGATAACGTTAAAAAATGTTTTAAAATAAACTTTAAAAAGTAAAAAATTAAGCTAAAAAAAAGTACAGTATTATACTGTGATCTAATTTTTTTAACCCTTGAAGATTAACTTTTATTTATTTTTTAACCCTCAGGGGTTCAATTTAATTAATTAATTTATTTAAATATTTTATAATGATATATTTTGCTAGCTGGTGTGGGTGGGAGTTATGGGAAAATGGTGAATTTACTGTTAGTGCTGCTTACTGCTAGTTAGGGGTTCATGGTAAAAAAAAAAGCTTAGAAAAATTTTAAATCTGTAAAAAAAGTTTTAAGAAAGTTTAGGAAAGTTTACAAAAAATTAATAAGCAAAACAGAAGTTTAAAAACTAGTTTTTAAAAGTAAAAAAAGTTTCAAAAAGTAAAAAAATACATTTAAAAACACTCATTACCACTACACCTGGAACAAACTAGAGAAAAAATGATCCCATGCTAAGGTTCAAAATATGCCTTTTAAATTACCCCAGGGTGTATTCTTTAATAAATAGTATGTGTTTGTGGGGAAGTTTCAATAACCAACCGTCTAAACTACTCCAAATTGGAACATGGACACAGCGTAAAACTTCAAAGTTAGAAAAAAACTGAATGGCTGTGTCTCAAATGCGCCCCTTCAATATCCACATATACCTAGCAAAGGTACATACGGTGGTATTGCTGTACTCAGACGACATAGCTGAGCAACATATGAAGTATTATACAGTCGTAGCACACATAAGGTTTGCAAAATATACTGTGCAAACTCACTTTGTGTGTCAAAAAGGCAGAAAAAACACTTATTACTACTACACTTGGTACAAGCTAGCGGAAAAATGATCCCACACTAAGGTTCAAAATATACCTTTTGAAATACCCTGGGGTGTCTACTTTAAGAAACGGTAGGCCTTTGTGGGGTAGTTTGAATTTAAACCCTGCTAAGATGCTTGGAAATTGCACATAGGCCCAGCATCAAAATTCAAAGTTCGGTAAAAACTGATGTGGCTTGGTCTCCTATATGGCACTGTAGCTTCACGAAATAGTGCCAAAGACATTCATTGGGGTGTCTTTTTACTCAGAAGACTTAGCTGAGCATAATTAGGGGGGTTTGAACTTAGTGGCACCTGTGAAATATACAAAATGCCCAGCATAAATGCAATCCATATGTAAAAAACACACACAATTATTTTTTATCACATACTTTGGCATATATTGGTGAAAAAATGGGGGCATGTTAAGGCACAATATGCACCTTATGAGATACCCTGGAGTGTCTACTTTTACAAATGGTAGGCCTTTGTGGTTTTCTTTTGAACAGTTAAACTGGTATAATACCCCAAATGGAAGCATAGGCTCATTAAATCCATCTCTCAAAATTGTACAATGAATACTGAAAAGGACAGGTCTCCTATATGGCACTGTAGCTTCACGAAATAGTGCCAAAGACATACAATGGGGGTGTCATTTTACTCAGAAGACTTAGCTGAGCATAATCTGGGGGTTTGAACTTAGTGGCACATGTGAAATATACAAAATGCCCAGCAAAAATGCAATCCATATGTAAAAAACGCACAAAATAATTTTTTACCACATACTTTGGCATATATTGGGGAAAAAATGGGGGAATGTTGAGGCACAATATGCACCTTATGAGATACCCTGGAGTGTCTACTTTTACAAATGGTAGGCCTTTGTGGGCTTTTTTGAACAGTCAAACTGTTATAATACCCCAAATGGAAGCATTAAATCCGTTTCTCAAAATTCTACTGTGAATACTGAAAAGAACAGACCTCCTATATGGCACTGTAACTTCACAAAATAGTGCCAAAGACATATGGGGATGTCATTTTACTCAGCAGATGTAACTGAACACAAAATACAATTACCTTAC